CTCGACTTGCCGAGATGACAATTGCCTCTTGAACTGCCATGAGCTTAGTCGTATCAAAATATTCAGTTAAAAAAAAAAAAAATTTAAGCATGCAGAGACATGAAATGCGGAGTTCTTGAATTGCAATGACAATTTATAATTATTTGTATTAGTTAATTAGAAATGTTTTTAAGCATTGAAAGACATGAAAGATTAATCTTAAAGATCCATTAGGTTTATTATAAATTAATCAGCAGATTATAACATGGTAATCGACACTTTATGCTACGATGTTACCAATGAATCAAACAACTTGAACAAGAAATCCATTAACACAAATAAGAAAGTAGAGATGGAATATTCTCCAAGTCAGAGAGTTTAATCAACCCTTATATATAACAAATTCACTCTACACACACACACATATATATGTATATATGTTCCTAGTTTCTCTTTCGCTGATTGGATCTTCTGGTTAAACGCCACCATGGTTTTATCAACCTGGCTCTGCAAAAGCAGCACAAAGAACATGCTGGTCAAAATAGTTTATCCCGGAGGTCACGTAGAACTCCATGACAGACCTGTTCTTGCGGCTGAAATCATGCTTCGAAACCCTAGATGCGTAGTAGCTCATCCACAAATTTTCCAGCAACCATGGGCGATTGTTTCACCAGATACCACTCTTATGCTCGGCCACAAGTTTTACGTCGTCCCCATCTCCACCATCCGCAAGCTTCAGAGACTCCCTTACAAGTTTTCTGCTTCTTCGGAAACTTCCATGAAAAGTACCAAGAAAACTATCAATGATGATGAGGAACAAGACTGCTGTTTTTTCATGTTCCAGAATGGAATTAAACATTCATGTTCTTGCATGAGACACTCTGATGATCATCGTGGCAGTGATGAGGAAACCAGATCGTGGTCGAGCAGTTCTGGATCTTCTGAGACGAGAGGGCTTAGGAGGAGTAAGAGAAAAGAGGATATGAAAAGAGGGTCACCCAAAAGATTTACATCCATAGATTATTGGCAACCAAACTTGGAGAGCATCAGGGAAGAATAGTAACTTCACTAACTACGTGTACTTATATATGTAAGTTATATATATATATATATAACCAGACCCCTCTCTGGGCTGTTCATCTTTTTTCAATATAATTTTTGGTTTATAGAACTTCTAAAGGAAAATAGCAAAATCATCTATCAAACATCAATCATAAGAAGATCTTGTCCATTCAACATTAATATATAAACAATGCAATTCTAATGTCATTTTAGAGAAGTGAAAACTAAAAAGTTGTATTCTTAAGATAATGGAAATTCAAAAGAAAATACGTATAATAATCTGAGTGCGGAAGCGAAATAAAAGATTAAGATTAACATCCCTTACACAATAATTTAAAAGTACTAAACAACATCACATAATAAGTTCTCTGAAAGAAATACGAGAAATGAGAAAAATAAAGAAAACTATAAAACATCTAGCATCTACTCGCAATTTTCTTGTGAATTGGGTTCGGGAACTAGATCCTCCTGATCTGAAATGGTTAAATAAGGAATGAGTTATACTAACCCAGTAAGGACATCACACTATATCACTGTCACAGAAGTAAAGGCTAGTAGAAAATTAAAACAACCAATGAAATAGTAGATTTAAACCAATACATTTATTTGGAATAAAACAATTTACTCTTTTTCTTATCTTTAGAGAACCTGTGAAAACAACCTATAAAAATAATAACATTATACAGATCATAATTTCATGCATAATCAGTAATATAAAACATATCATTAATTCGTATTCATTAAAAATAACTGATTATCACTATTTCTCGTTTTCACCAGTCTGTTAGTATTCATAGGGATCCATAAGGGTGTCCCCACTATACGTGAACCATTCCCCTTAACAATTTTAATTCCAGGGCCGTCCCCATACCTCGTCCGGTATGAGTGCCAAGATATTAAACCTCAATACCCCGTCCGGTATGAGGGTGAAGTAGACCGTCCCCATACTCCCTTCGGTATAAGCACCAAATGACCAAATCTCCATACCCCGTCTGGTATGAGACAACGTTTACGGTAGGGTTCCATATGAATCCGGTCCGTCCACCATCTCTCAGGATATCTAGTGAGGCTGTCACCTTATCTGTTTTTTTTCAGTCTCCATTACCAAGTTAAACATAATCACATAAACAATAAACATGTACCCGGTAATAAAATCATATCTTAAATTTCAAAATCACATAGTGGACAAGTAAGACAATAATACATGTATTTAAACCATACAATATATAAACCAGATATCATCATAATTTTAGACTGTACAATAAATCAACAGTAATCGACAGAAAACAATGTCCGATATTGGCTCTATTAGCAATTTGTAATAAATCAAACACATCCATTTAATTTATACAAATGACTGTATTTTTATTTATTTGAAC